TCTAATCTTGTGTCTAATCTTGTGTCTGAGGGAACATTTGGCATTAGAGCCGCAGCTTCAAAAGATATCAGAACCCCCTCTCAAGAGATCACAGAGCTAGTAGACCATTTTATTATTTGCCTCAACTCCCCCTTTCGGTACTTTCTGAGAACCCATGGGTGCTGAGTTTCATCCTCAACCTGAGGGTCATAGGGCTGGGTCAGAGATGTTTCCAGAAGCTCACAATATGGTGGAAGAGAGTAGAACCACATGATGAGAAAGCAAGACCAAAAATGTGTGAGTCCTCAGAACAAGATAAACACAGGCCCTTGGGGATGAAAAGGAGGAAAGGTTATGAATTTGCCTGAGGTGGATGGGAAAAGGCCTCCTGAAGACAGTGACCTCTGAACCTCCCTTCAGAGGGCAGCTGTGAAATGTCGGGCTCCCCCAAACCCATAGTACTCCTGCCTTGAACTGGACAGGGAGCATTTCTGGGAATTTCTTAGAGAAGTTTGCTTGGGCTGTTCCCACAGGATGCCACGCAGCGTGCTCACTGAGAATGAATGTTGGCAGGGAGCCTCCAGGGACTGGCGGCTGCGGAGGGTGTTTCCCAGGCACTCCTGCTTGAGGTTCACTGCAAACATGCACAAAGAATGGGTGGGGACAGTGTGCTTGAGAGCGTGCACGGGAGTCCTCTGCCGGGAACCTCCCCACAGAATCTGGGCTCCCTGCATTCACTGAAGCAGCACGTGTTCCTGACCATCCACTGTGAGCTAGAGGCCAGTGTCGACGCCGGGTGACCAGGAGACGAGGTGGCAGAAACCTACGCGGGCCATTCAGCATCTGGGAGGGTCGGGGGGAAGCCTTTAGGGCAGAAGGCACAGCAAGTGCGAAGGCCTTGAAAGGGGACCGTGCTCAGCACGTTAGAGCAGCGGCCGGCGGGTTTGGGGCAGAGCGATGGAGTGGGTAGGAGACGAGGTCACAGAGGTAGGGAGGGCCTGGTCACGCCAAACACTTTATCGTATCAGATCACGATTAGTGCTGCGACCAAAGGGAAAAAAGAAAAAAGTTAAGGGCAGAGACAGAGGTGTCTGAAGAGTAAAGGGGCAGGGAAGGTCTCTGATCCAAAGACATTGGAGCACAAGCCTGTGTTAAGTGAGGGAGCAAGACATGAGGATATCTGGGGAAGAGCATCCGGGAGAGGGATCAGCAAGTGCAAAGGCCCTGGGGTGGGAATGTGCCTGGCATGCGTGAAGGGCAGCGGGGAGACGGAGGAAGCTGGGGTGGAGGGGTGAGCATGAGGGAAATAGAGTTCCGTGGTTCCCTTATGTAGGGTCAGGGGGTAGGATTTACTCTGGGCGAGGTAGGAGCCGTAGGGGATTGAGGGCAAAGAACAAATGGTCTGACGGGGCTGGGAGAGGCAGCAGGAAGACCAGTTTGGCAGCAGGACCCATCTCTGCCCTGGAGTGGCCAGGCCTGGCTTCTGCAGAGCAGATTTCAAGGGAGCTTGAAGGACCTTTTTTGACCCTTAGCCAGGCTGGGCCCCAAGAGGGTGGAGCAGAGAGAGAAGGCTGGCCCCCCTTCTGGGAGACCTGCGGGCAGCAATCTCTTGTCCAGGGCAGGAGGATGTTCTCACTGACTCGAGGAAACAGCGCATCCCACATCAAAAGGGGGCCCAGGTGGCTCCCACGCTCAGGCGTCGTGGGAACACTGCTACCCGGGTTCTCGCAGGGACCTGCAGATTGAGAGGGGTGGGGGGCCGCCTTGGGACTGTCCCCCAGATCACTGATAGGTAAATACAAAACAGACCCACTGTCACGCCCCACTCACCACCTTCTTCCCAGGAGCAAGACTGGCTTTTGCAACCCAGGGCTCTCTGGTTGTTAAGGTGTACCAGAAATTGTAGGGCACCTGAGACCTAAAACCTTCCCCTGGGGGACTCCCCTCCCCTCCCTGCTGCCTAACTGCCAGGTCAAAGGCTCAGCAAGACCAGGGCCATGTGCTGGACCAGAATTTGGGCATTCTATAGACCTGGGGCAGCACTCTGTCACTGATGGGTAGAGGCTGCCTAAAGCGCTGTGCCGCAGATTCTGCTCCGCTTGAGAGTGTGCTGTGATCCATTAGTGATGTCTGCCACAGGCAGCGACAAGATTTGGGATTACACATGCTAAATAGTTATCTTTCCAGCCACGTGACAGAGAGCCCTGGAGAGGAGGGGTGTTTTTCCATGAGACAAAAGGGAAGGAACGGGGTGGGGAGACCTAGCTCTGTTGACAGTGTGTCTCCAACAGAAGCATTTGGAAGGACAGGGCGGGGAAGAGGAGAAGCGTGAGGTACATGCCTCTCTGCTTGCCTATAAGATTATGGGGAGAGATACGAATAGGGTGGTGATACCCCCAGGAAGGTCCTGAAGAGTTATAACAGACCCTGAGAAGATGCGGAGGGACCCTCAGCCCCGCCATCTCTTGGGTTCCAGGCTGCGGGCAGGAGAAAGTTAAGCCCTCCGCTCTTGCCTGTGCACCAGACTGAGTGCACTCATTTACATGTTTTAACTCATGGAACCTTCACAAGACTCTATCCCCATTACAGATGAGGACATTGAGGCATGGCACCTTCCCCCGCCACGCACCTCAACTGGCCAGGCGCAGGGCCCCATAGTGCCAGCCCGCCCACTGCACCCCCTCAGGAGCTGTGGTCTGTGACGCCAGGTCACCGAAGCATGTAGGGGCCCTGGCCTGCGCTGCAGACGCGGCGCCCAGAGGGGCCTGGGAGGAGCACCCCGGCCCACCCTGACGGAGCGTGTGTGCCGAGCAGCCAGAGGAGGGGCGTGTGGTGTGCGCGTGTGCATGTGACTCTGTGTCAAGTGTGGGCCTCCCGGCTGAACATCTGTGTGTCACAGTGGGGGACTGTGGGTCATAGTGTGTCTGCCCAAGTCCCCACATGCGGATGGCAGGGTCCCCTTGCAGGCTGCCTAGTGCTGGGTGCTGTGAGGACTGAGGTGCATTTCCCCTGCATTTGTGGTCTGTTCTTCCACAGTGATGTGCACTGGGGAGGTGGCCCTGGCTTGGGATGTCCCACTCTGCACGCGCTGGCCTCTCTTGCCCGACAAGTGTCCTTGCAGTGTGTGCACGTGTGCAGCTCTTGTGTGCAGTATGTTCCCTGGAGTGTATGTGTGGCGCTCTTCATGCAGAAGTGTGTGTGTGTCCAATCTCTGTATGTTCACGGGGTGTTTCCTGATGTTGTTCGTGTGTATCTTTGTATGTACATGTGCATGTTATACATTCCCTGTGTGTTTACGTGCAAACATGTGCTATATTCACCAAGTATACATGTGTCTCTGTCTGTATCTCTGTGTGGGGAGGGGGCTCCATAGAGAGTTTTTGTGTGCCTGTGTGTGTACATGTGTGGGAGGCATGCCCCAGATGGGGTGCCTATTTGGGTGGTTTTCTTCATGTATGTGTGTATCTATATGTACATGTGTGTATATATAGCACACGTTCCCCAAGGGCTCGTGCGTATGTTTCTGGACCCACTGCAGCTGCACTCGAGCCTGCCGAGCACACTGTTTGCTTGAAGCCAGCGCCCTGGTGCCAACTGTGCCTGCCAGGGGCAGGTGACAAGGCAGCATTGGCCGGGCTCAGCCCCTAGGAGGCAGGCTTAGGGGGCCATGGCCCCTTCTTCCCCAGCGGTCACTGCCTCTTCCTGGCACCGTCCCCAGGGCCCTCAGGTCGCCCCTGGCTTTCAGAATGCAGCTCCTTTTCAAAACCTTTCCATCCGGGGACTGTGCCCATCAACAGCCCAGCTCGGAGGCGGTGAGGACTCAGGCAGGCCCACCGGACAGAGCGCACGGGCTTTCTCCTGCACCCCTCCCAGCAGCCTCAGGGGTGTGGTATTGTTGTCCCCATTTGACAGATAAGGAAACCGAGAATCACAGAGGTTAAGTGACTTGCCCCAGCTTCTCACTGCACTACATTTATGGTTTCCTCTCCAAGAGGAGAAGTCACACCATGGTTTAGTGGGCTGAGGTGCAGGGAGGCGAAACTGCCCACCCAGCATTACACAGGGACGGTGATGATGGTGACGATGACAACCAAGCCTGTTAGAGCCTTCATTAGGCACTGGGAGTGGTGCATGGCCCTTGACCTGTAGAATTTCATTGACTCTTCACAGCCAACAGAAGGAAGGCACCACGTTGTCCCATTTTACAGAAGACACAGGCTCATGAGGAGCGTAATGATATGCAGGGTGCCACCCGGCCGGTTAGTGGTTGAGCTGAGATATGAAAGCAGCTCTGGCTGATTCCAAAAGTCAGAGCTCATGGGAGGGTGGGCGAAGAGAGGAAGCCAGCCATGCTTTCCCTAGGGTCTCTTCATCAGAAGAGGGGACAATGCCTTAGTCTCAGGAACTGACGTCAGTAGGTATTACAGAGGTGAAAACGATGCTCGTCAGCAAATGTCTTTGGGAAACCTGGGTTTACCATGGCTAACTACATTTCCTTAGGCAGGACTTAATCGGAGGCTTTACTGTGCTCATAGGGATTGTGAATTTTCCAAGAGGGAGACTTTGAAATGTTCCCTAACTTATTGAGTCCCTGAATCCTTCTTTCCCGGAACCTTTTATGGGGATCACTGCTTCCTACAGCAAACCCTGAGAAAGGCTGGAATGACTGTCTCACTAACAGTTGTATTTCAGGCACAGTGGCCAGTGAAAAGGAGCCCTTGGAACCCAAGTGCTCTCACTAGGGAGGAGGCCAGCTGTGGAACGGGAGAGTCGGTACCAGGTCTGCGGGTTCATGCCATCATAACCCGGATGGGGTTCTGCTGACGCCCTACCTTATCATGGAAGGATGTCAGAGTAGGAATCGAGTTCCCTGGGGATCATTCTAGATGTCTGGGACGGACACAAAGAGGTCAGACTATGCCCAGGAGCCAGCGTCAGCCTTTATAAGGCAAAGCAGGATGCCTTGACCCTCTGAAGTGGGGGCTGGAATCCAGCTGCAGCCTCTTCTCTTCTCCTCTCAGGGTCCCCGCGCTTCCAGTGAAGAACTTGAATGGTACCGGGCCAGTCCACCCGGCCCTGGCAGGTGAGGTCTAGCCCAGGACTCCGAAGAAGAGTGGGGCCCGGGAGGAGGCAGTCCCACCTGTCGGCCCCTTGACTCCGCCCCTTAAAGTGCTGGTGGGAGGGGCCTAGAGGAAATACCCGCTCCCGTTGGGCCACCCGGGGTGGGCTTGGCCCGCAAAAGGCATTCCACTTGGCTTCAGCCTGGGTGGGGCTGAGGGGTGCGGCCCAGGGCCCACCCCGCTCATCCACCTCAGGACCCCAGGGTCCCTGCAGGTGGGCGGGTCTGAGGGAGAGGCTCCAGACCTACACCCAATGATGGGAGGGTGGGACTGCGGAGTGGGCGGGGCATGGAGGGCGCAACGCCCCTGACCGCCCAGGCCACGCCTCCAGGGATGACCGGGATCCTGCTGTGCGCTGCCGGGCTGCCCGTGTGCCTGACAAGAGCCCCCAAACCTATCCTGCACCCGCCGCCAGTGAGCAAGAGCGACGTCAAGCCGGTGCCCGGCGTGCCTGGGGTGTGCCGCAAGACCAAGAAGAAGCACCTCAAGAAGAGTACGCCCTCCGCGCCCCACCCTGACTCCTGAACTTGACCCCACTAATCCATGACCACAATTCCTGCGACCCCTCACCTCCACTCTGTTCTTGGGACTTAGGGCTTCATCTCCACCTCCTGATCTCAACTCCCGTCTCCCTGACCCCTTCTGCCACCAACATGTAACCCCTGCCAACCCCACCTCTCTAAGCCCCGACTCCACCCGGAGCGAAGGCCACAGGGTACCCTCAAGCCCACCCCCTTGTGTCGTTGCAGGTAAGAACCCTGAGGATGTGGTTCGAAGGTACATGCAGAAGGTGAAGAACCCGCCTGATGAGGTGAGTGCTGGGGCGCCTGGGCGGGGGCCGGCGGCCTTGCTGCAGAGACGGAGAGCCCTGTCCCTCCCGCCGCCTCCCCTCTCCCCTGCTCTCGGCGGGAAGTCCTCCAGGTTCTGTGTGTTCCAGTCCCTTCTCCCACTTTGTGGGTTTGCCTTTCTGCTGTCTTTACAATGTCTTTTGATGAACAGAAATGCTGAAGTTTCCTAGAATGACAGGTATCGATCTTCTGGTGATCAGCAGTTTCTGTACCTTATTTTCACTCACATATGTTTTTCTAAGTTGTGTTTTTGCTAGCCAGCCCTTTAATCCCTCTGGAGGGGGCTGTGAGGGAGCCATGTATCTGAACTTGATTCACAGGGGTGTCCTCTTCCTGCAACAAACGACAAACGGATGCCTGAGAGGCAGTGTCCTGCCCCACCCAGGGCTCAGCCTCCCCCTCTGCCCTCCCCGCAGGACTGCACCATCTGCATGGAGCGCCTGGTCACAGCATCCGGCTATGAGGGCGTGCTTCGGCACAAGGGCGTGCGGCCCGAGCTTGTGGGCCGCCTGGGCCGCTGCGGCCACATGTACCACCTGCTGTGCCTCGTGGCCATGTACTCCAATGGCAACAAGGTGGGCTCGTGGGGACAGTGGGTGGGGATCAGGCAAGGGAGCCCAGAGGGGCCGGTAGCCCTGGGGACCTCACCTCCAGCCTCCCCTGCCCCAGGATGGCAGCCTGCAGTGCCCCACTTGCAAGGCCATCTACGGGGAGAAGACGGGCACTCAGCCGCCTGGGAAGATGGAGTTCCACCTCATCCCTCACTCGCTGCCGGGCTTCGCGGACACCCAGACCATCCGCATTGTCTACGACATCCCCACAGGCATCCAGGTGAGGCCCCCTCGGACCCCGACCCCAGCTCCTGTGACTCCTGTGTGTGGTTCAAGCCCCTGCCGCTCCTCCCACAGGGCCCTGAGCACCCCAACCCAGGCAAGAAGTTCACCGCAAGAGGCTTCCCGCGCCACTGCTACCTGCCCAACAATGAGAAGGGCCGGAAGGTGGGTGCAGGGCTGTGGGCCAGGGCCCCAGCCACACGCTGCCCGGGCCCGCGGTGCCCGGTGCCCCCCGCCCCGCTGTCACGCCCTCCCCACGCCAGCATTGACCGCAGCCGTCCAGTGTGGGTCTGGCCCTGCCAGGCACTGCTGAGGTCAAGGTCTTCCCGGGATTTTCCAGATAAAGAAAAAGAGCCCCAGAGAGAGCAAGTAACCTGCTCAAGTCACACAGCTAGTAAGTGGTGGAGCCTGGGTTTGAACCCAAGCAGTCTAAACCCTTCACCACCACACTATAGATTTTGTCTGCTTTTACTCTTTGTTTTTCGAGAGAAGCCAGAAATTCTGACTTCTCTCAGTTTTCATGTGAAATTCTTTCACAATTTTCATGTGAAATCTCCAGGTTTTTAAACAACGAAGCCAACGAAGTCACAAAGTGGCTCTTTAATACAGTGTGAGGTCCAAACCAAACACTGCGGAGGCCATCGGTTTGAGACCCTTCCTTAACCGCAGATGAAATAGGCCGATAAACTGGAGAGAGCTTTTTCCTAGGAGAGTCAGTCCCGGGAAGGAAGCGGCCAGGCTGGGCAGCTCCCCCGGCGCCCTGCTGGGCTCTGCAGGCCTGAAGGGAGCTGCAGTGCGGCAGGGAGGGGCGGGGAGGCTGGGCTGGAGGGGCTCAAGCCCTGGCCGGGGGCTGCCTCTGACCCTGCACCATCGGCCTGCCCTCCAGGTGTTGAGACTGCTCATCACCGCCTGGGAGCGGAGGCTCATCTTCACCATCGGCACGTCCAACACCACCGGCGAGTCGGACACCGTGGTGTGGAACGAGATCCACCACAAGACCGAGTTTGGATCCAACCTCACGGGCCACGGCTACCCGGACGCTAGCTACCTAGACAACGTGCTGGCCGAGCTCACAGCCCAGGGTGTGTCCGAGGCCAAGGCCTGAGGCCCTGGGCTGCCCACCTTCCCTCCTGCTTTGCCCCTTGCCTGGCACAGGCCTCCCTCCACCAGGTGCGTCCTCCTGGTGGCCCAGGGTCAGGACTAGGGAGGGCGCCTGCAGAAGAAGCCGGAAGCGTTCTGGAGATTTGGCTGGTGGCCCTTGAGAATGACGGGAAGATGGCAGGCCGGCCAGCTCCAACCCGGAGAGGGTCGCAGCGAGAGTACCAGAAACCACAGCGACCTCCCTACCACAAAGACAGAGCCCCACCCCCACACACAAACACACGTGTCCTGTTGAACACATGCACGCACACCCACGTGCCTCTACTTACCCCCAATCTGGGGGGAAGAGACAGAAGACCCCTGTGACACCCCATGTGGATCCCATCTGTGTCTCTTATCACGTCTGTACAGGCTTGTCTGCCAGCAGGAGGATTTGGGTCAAGCTCTTAGGAACCTGCAGCGGCTCCTAGGGGAGAAAGGGGCGCTACGGAAGCTCCGCTGACCCCGATCTCTGCCATCCATCTCTGCCCCCAGATTATTGAACAGTTTTGCAGAGGGGCAGGCCAGAGAGGGGGTACTAGAGGCATCTTAGTTTGTGCTTTTGTCTCCTCATCCTCCTGGGGCCCTGGCCTCCCCCTCCCCACCGCCATCCCCAGGCCTTCTGTCTGTCCCACATAAATGCACTGTCCCCTTTGCCCCCCGCCCCATCCTCTCCATCAACTCATTCCCAACGTCAAGATCCAAAGGCTGGAGCTTCTGCCTTCAGGAGGGAGATGAGGAGGCCTAGCTTAGGCCAGCAGACCTACAAAGCAGACTGGAGAGCAAAGAGTCCATTTCCCTTACTTGGAAGTGGGCAACGGGGTGGCTGATGGTCTCAGCCAACCAGGGGCCTGTTGCCCAGGCAACTCACCAGCTCCGCCTCTGTTGATTGGCTGCCTCCCTGGAAGTCAGCCAAGATTTAAAGGGACGCCAGTGATTGCTCTTTTGAAAACCTACCAGTCCCACTGTGGGTGGAGAAATAAACGGTCTTTCTCCTCTTTGCCTGTCTTTTCCTGCCAAGGACTGGGGGGGTGGCTCTGTTCTTGGGGACCTTTGGTTCACCGCATAAAGCAGCTTGCAAGCAAATGACCCCAGGACCATGGCCTCTTTCAGCCTTGGACGGCTAGAGAAGTGTAGGGCCCCCATAATTCTCTTGTCCTGGAGCAAGGGTTTGATGGTGGCATCGGCAGACCCTCCTATTCCTAGCACCTAAGCGGGCAGAGGTTAAAGTTCTGTTCTCCAGCACGGGCACCAGGCAGTGCATACAGTGCTCCCTTGGCACAGCTGCTAGGAATGAGGAACTCGGGCCAGGAACCGAGAGCCTCTGGAAGGACATGGGACAAAGCTGATCACCCGTGGGATCAGCTCCTTGGGACCTCAGAGCCCCCGACTCTGCGCTTGGGGAGGAGGGCCGCGTTCTGTCCAGGGAGAGACAGAGACCAGGACCTGCAACAAGCTCCTGATCTGCCTTTGCAACATCCCAGAATGCCCAGATGGTGGTTGTGGATGCTGCGGCTCCAAGCGACCCCTACTGGCCACCCGTGGGATAGCGCTGCATCCTGGTCTGCCTTCTCCCCAGCCAGGTAGGTTCAGTTTCTGTCCCACCCTAAAGTCACACAAAACCGCAAACGAGTGCTTGGAGCCCCTTCCAGCTCTGACCATTGAGTGTTTCCAAAGATTTTATCTTCTGTGATTCACTCTCATACTCTCATCCCAAAACCCTAATATATAAAATCAACCAGCCGTGTGATCCTCAAATCTCATGTTCATCCACGTCACCTGAGGAACTTGTTAAGCATCATGACTCCACCTGCCCCACACGCCTTCAGATTCTGATGCAGTAGATCTGGGTGGAGCCTGGGGATCTCGCAGACACCCCAGGGTGGGGGGAGCTTTGGGCCAGTGAAAGAAACTCCCCGCTGGCCCCCGAGCTGCCTCTATGGAACCGAATTTGAAAAACCACACATCTAAGCCAGGATAAACTGAGGCTCAAAGAGGAGAAAGGGGCCTGGCCCAAGGTCTCCCAGGCTCTGAGGGTCTGAGAACTGCATGTTGGGCTCCCAGCCTGTTCTACCTGAGGGCACCTGATTCTGGAAGCTTGTGGTTAGGGCTACTATCGTCAGCCAAGGGCAAGGTTCGGGAGGATTAGTGAGGTCACAGGGACTGGCAGACAGGAAAACAGGAAGGGCTGAGTCGGTTTAGTGCTTGTCTGGGGCAACAAGGCTGCATGGGCATCGGGGATCTAGGTACAGTTGCATCCAGCAGCTAAAGGTCAGGCTGGCCCCAGTGGTGTGGGCAGAGGCCAGCCCAGCGAGGCAGGGCCCTCGGGCTGAGCCGGATGAGCCAGGCTCCCTCCCCTCAGCCCGCCTCCCCCCAGAGGCAGATCCGCTTAGTGCAAAGCTGGCCCTTGCTTCCATGCCCCAGGGCTGGGGCTTCGAGCACACGGGACTGGGAAATCTCCAGAAGCCTCCAAGTCGCACCATCATCGAGGCGCAGCACAGCCACGAGGAGGCTCCTGGGCCAGGGCACGCTGAGACGGGCCCGGCGGTTCCTGATTCTTCCTCCCAGGCTGCCTGTGGCATTTCCTCAGGGCCCAAGGGGACCTGGGACCCCTTTCCTCTGCTCCTGCTGCTGGAAGTCCTCATGGGCTCGTTCCAGGTCTTCGAGCACCTCCAGGAGGCGGGCAGCTGCTTCTCTCTGCCGGGCCAGAGCTTCAGGACAGGCCGCTGGGAGGGAGATGAAGGGGCCACAGGGGCTTAGCTGGGCCAGGACAGGCTGTCACAACCCCCGCCCCGTGCCTTCCTCAGGCTCCAGATCTGCTGTGTGCCCTGCGAGTCCTAAGAGGTGCCAAAACCCACACGCACAGCCCCCTGGCCTGCTGATGGGCTGGAAACCGGAGCATGACTTGGAGGACACAGGGGTGTACTCGGCAGATTGCGCGAGGTGTCAGAGAGGACGAAGGAAAGGGGCCTCCTCAACCTAACCCTTACCTTCCGTGGAACTGGGGTCCTCCCCTGCGTCTTCCTCTGGACTGGTATCCATGTTGGAATCCTCCAGGAACTTCATCCTAGAAGTTGAGAGGGAGAAAGGCAAAGCTGACCTGATTCCAATTTTACTCTCCACCCCAGAGATTCTCCGCTGGTTGCAGGAGACGTTACGGGTTCTCACTCATTAGCACCACCGACATCCTCATCACAGCCAATATTTATAGAATCCCAGGCACAGCTCTAGGCTCTTCACATGGATTAACTCCTTCAGTTATCATGAAAAACGCATCTGAGGTAGGTAATTACTATTAGCGCCATGATACTGATGATCACTGAGACACAGAGAGGTAAAATAACTTGCCTAAGGTTGCACAGCCACATAATAGTTGCTGTTTATTGAAAGCAGACTATGTGGCTTTACCTGTTTTAGCCCATTTGATACCCAGAACAAGCCCATGAGGTAGGCACTGTTACTAACCCTGGTTTCCAGATGAGAAAACTAAGGTACAGAAAGATAAGCAACGTGCCCGAGAGTGCACAGCCAATAAGTAGCTAGGCCAGGATTTGAACCCACACAGGCCAGTGTAAGGACCGCCTCTCAAATGAGTTGGGGCAAATCTCTGTCACGGAACAACAGTGATCCTGAGGCCAGGAAGGGGGAGGAACACATCCAACATCTGTGCCCATGTCTCTGGAGGTATTAAAAGATGCTAAGATCTAGTTCTGCATTAGAGCCCGCCCCCCGAATACTTCCCCACCCTCACCTTGAGCCCGCCCCTCCCCTGCCCCGCCCTCAGCCAATGTGCTTGGAAAGAATGACTAAACGAACAGGGAAGGCCACAGTGGTTGGCTGGCCCAGCGGGTCAGAGGGCGCAAAGTGGGAAGAGTGGCTCCCCACCTGAGCTGGTCCCGCCCCAGGAGCAGCTGCCGATACACCATCTGGGTCTCAGCATCGGGGTCCAGCGGGTCGCTCCAGTCCCCCAGGGTGACGGCCGAGTGCGTGCGGCTGCAACCAGCAGCTGAGAGGACAGAGCTCAGTCAACAACCCCTCTGGTTCCCCTTCCAGAAGCCCCCATGGGCAGGTCTTCGCCAAGCCCCGCCCCTCCTGCCTCTCAAATCACTCTGCAAACCCTACATCCTTCCAGCCCCACTGCCTCCACCCTCGTGGGGCAGAGCAGTGGCCTCACCTCTCTCTCCAGCCTCCTCCCACCGCCTGGGCTGCAGCCACACCGAGCCTTTCTAATCCTTCTGCCCCCTCTGTCTCCAGTCCAGGCCTTCGCTCCCGATGTTTGCTCGGCCTGCAACGTTCCCCCTTATCCCATCCCTGAAACCAACTTCGCTGCTTCCCTCCTACTCGTCTCAGGTCACATCTAAGCAGCACCTCCTCCAGAAAGCCCTCCTTGATCTCCCACCCTGGGGCTGGGTGCCAGGCATTTCTGGAGTCTCAAAAGCCTCACCTGGGCACTTAGGAAGCAGTATTACAACTGTCTGGTTAGTCATTTGTCTTCCTTGAGAGCGCGCCTGACGCCTGTGTGTGTACCCCTAGATACCTGGCACACAGTGGGTGCTTGCAAAACGCGAGGAGGCGGCGCTATTATCAACCCCATTTCACACTGGAGGAGACTGAGGCAGAGAGAGGTTAAGTAACTTGCTAGAGGTTGCCCCAGCTAGCCCAGACAGCTGATTGACAAGTGGGGAAGGCGGAACCTGAGTCAGCCCTGCCCCCTCACCTGAGCGCTCTGCCTGGAGGCAGCAGGTCCAGCGCGAGCTGCGGAAAGCACCCGGGTGGCAGGAGGCCAGCTTGTCAGGGTTGGGGGCGCTGGCCTTGCGCAGAGCCGACAGCCATTGGTTGAGATCGTTCACATTCTGCAGGGAATGGGGGGAGGGGCGGTCAGGGGGAAGGTGGGACTCAAGGCCCGCCCCCACACGCCCGGCGCCCATCTGTGAGGTGCCTCACCTTGCACTGAAGGTAGGTGGTATGCAGCGTCCCTGAGCCGCCGTCCTGCGTCACCACCTGCATCACGTGCGGCAGCTGGAAGGCGCCTTCCTCCACGCGCTCCACCGCGCGAATGTGAGACACCGGAATGGTGGATCGCGTCTGGAGAGAGGATTGTCCAGGCAGGGTGGGCCGAGGGCTGGGGCCGGGGTATGGGGCCCCAGGGACAGCTTCCCTTGGGTGTGTGCATTACATAGGGTCCCGGAGGGACACATTCAACCTCGTGTATCTGTGATCTGTGTGCATGTCCACTCAGCTGCTCCACGAGTCCCCAGGTCCTGCCCTATCCCTCTAAGTGACAGCTTCTCTGGGCCACAGCTCCCACCGCCGCCGCCACCATCACCACTGATGTGGTACGTGGGATGTGGTTCTAAGCACTTCACGTTTATCAACTTATTCCATCATCCCAACAAATTTCTGAGGCTCAGTCTAATTACTCTTCCCAATGTGCAGATGAGGAAACTGAGGCACAAGATCACTCATCGGGTGGAGCCAGAATCGGAACCCAGAGAGCTGAACTCTAGATCTGCACCATCTCCGGTGGGAGCTATTAATACTTACGGTGCATCCGCAGCAGGGGGTACCTCCCAGTACACGTCTCTGTTTGTGCTAGACGAGAATGGCAGGCCCATGAGGACAGGGATTCTGTCTTGTTTACTGCTCTTGCTCCATACCTTGAACGCTGCATGGTACTCAGCAGGCACTCAATAAATGTTCAATGAATGAATGAGTGAAGGAATGCCTGGACGCGTGCGCCTGGCAGCCGGGCATGTACCGCTGAGTGTGTCTCTACGGTGTGTGGGCATAGGCCCAGCTGCGACCACCCGACCGTGTGTAAGCATCGTCCTTGTCCTGTAGGGGTCCATATCTGGAGCGTATGTCAGGGCCTCTCCGAGTGTACATTCTGAAGGGTGCTTGATGGTGACTGTGTGTCCGTGTATGCCCGTCCCTGGCCTGGGCCCACATTGG